AGGAAGGAAGGAAAGAAGGGAGAGAGGGAGGGAGGAGGGAAGGAAGGAAGGGAGGGGAAGAAAGGGAGGGAGGGAGAGAAGGACAGAAGGAAGGAAGAAATGAAAGAGGCAAGGAAGAAAAGAAGGAAAGAAGGGAGAGAGGGAGGGAGGAAGGAAGGAAGGGAGGGAGGGAGAGAAGGAGGGAAGGAAGGAAGGGTGGAAGGAAGGAAAGAAGGAAGGAAGAAAAGAAGGAAAGAAGGAAAGAAGGGAGAGAGGGAGGGAGGAAGGAGGGAAGGAAGGGAGGGAGGGAGGGAGGGAGGAAGAGAAGAAGGAAAGAAGGAAGAAAGAAAGGAAACATTTATTGAGTCCTTACTATGTGCCAGCACTACGCTAAGCACTTTATAAATATTATCTCATTTAATCCTCACAACAACGCTGCTAGGAAAGTTCTGTTATTATCCCCATTTTAGAGTTTAGAGGCAGACAGAGGTGAAGTGACTTGCCCAGGGTCACACAGCTAGTAAGTGTCTGAAGCTGGATTTGACCTGCAGTCTTCCTGACTCCAGGCCCAGCACTCTATCCACGGGGCCACCTACTTCCCCCAGCAGGGAAGATTACAGTTTCTGGAATCTCGAGAGCTAGATGTTCAGTCCCTGAGAGGACAACCAGACACTGGGAAGTCAAATGCCTGGATCCTGACAAGGTCACCAGGGAGTTGGAGGCTGGGCTTGCTGGCTCACCTCGATGAGGAAGTCCCCCATCCGAAGGCCTGCTCTCCAAGCCACACCGCCCTCATCCACAGATTCGAGGTACTGTAGGGCAGGGAATGCTGGGGTGGGAGTGAACTCCTCGATGGGGGTCTGCGCTGCGGGGAGGAGCAGAGAGGGTCGGTGGGGAGGGGGGAGGAGCCGGAGGAGGGCCCAGGAGCCAGACCCAGGCTCCCAAGGTAGCAGAGCTGAGGAGCCTAACCCCAACCCCTTCCCCATTCCCTGGGCTCAGCAAACAGCCTTTCTACCCCATTCCTAGTACTCACCCTTGGCCCCCCGTAGCACAAAACCGAACCCCTCACTGTCCTTCTTCTGTAGCAGGACGGTCTTCTCCTTAATGATGTAGTCACTGTGTGTGGGAAAGGGGGGGGATAAAGAAGAGTGGAGTCAGCCCCAAGCTCCTTGCTTCCATCCCTCGCTCTAGGAGGCCCACTATTGTAGCAAAGGCTCCCTCTAGTGACCCCTCCATGTTTCCTAATACTCCTACTCTACAGTCTGATTTGCATCAGCAATAACCCACCGTGCACTCCAAAGTGCCCAAAGCCAGAATGCTGCCCTCATACTGAGATCTCTTGTGCGTTGAGCAGGACCTCTCTGCAGGTTGGTGGGGGGAACACAGCACAGGTGGCCAGAGTACTTGGCCATTGAGATCCTTGAGTCACCAAAGTAATGACCCTGTACCCTTCCAACATATTCTACTAATGGTCCCAGGGCCTTCCAATGATGAAGCTCCTTGTTGAATAGGCCAATAATGTTCCTTATGCAAATACCCTACTACAATCCAATAATGCCTCACCACATAACAAGCATACTCAAATAAGTCCAGTAACACACTCAATATTTTCACTAATACTCCAATTCACATTTGTGCCTCATCAGCAATACCAAGACAGGCACCAAGTATATTCTAATAATGCCTAGGCCACCCCAATAATCTCTACTGCCAAGACCCACTTCGCATGGGCTTTAGCAATAGCTCCACCCATGGCCTATGTCCAGAGAGCCAGCATACCTCAGTAATGATTAGACATGCACACTCTAAAGTTATCCAAGCACCTTCTATAACATACGCAGACGTACCCGGGCGATGATGTCACCAACAAGGTCATTCATAAGGTGCTTTCTACGGAGTTTCTTTCTAAAGCATTTGCCTCTATGGTCCATTATTGGATTATATAGAATTGGTTTCCAAAGGGAAGGGAGATCATGAATGCCTTGTTATTTCCCTTTTATACATGAGAGGGAAGCCAGGGACCAGGAAGAGAAAATCATTGGTCTAGGTTCACACAGCTAAGACATACGAGATCCAAATCCTCCGAATCCAGGGCTTCCTTGGGCCATTAGGTTAGTGAATCCAATCACTTCCCACCCATACAAGAGTGCACCAAATAGAAGCTACTTAAACCTAGCCATAGACCCCACATATTCCAGTAATGACCAAATTTACATCCATTGCACTCTAGTATATTATCCTCCCCAGATGTTCTGGTAATCCCAAGATTCCCACATGCTCCAAAATCCAGGTATAGCCTAAGTATGCTCCAGTTATACCCAGTTCAAGATAAATCCAGGGTATGCCAATAATACCAAAATATAGCTCTAACATGCTTCAGTAATACTCAAATATATATGCTGCAATAATATTGCATACTCTAGTATGTATCAGTGATATCCAAATACTCCCTTTAACAGACTTCAGTTCCCAACTATCCCCCATTCCTGTCTTATCCAATCACCCACACAGTGTGCTTCAATAATGCCCAAACATGCACCAGACCCACTCCAGCAAATAGCCATAGATCTCAGTACAGGCCAACATACAGAAACACCACAAGCAGACTTCAGAAATAGCCAAGCACATACCCATCATACAGTGCTACTTAGTATATTTCAATAATATGCAAACAGCCATGTATACTATAGTATACTCCAATAATATACTTGACTACCCCCCAAAGCTCCTAAGTATAAGCTAGCAAATGCCATTACATCCCAAGGATAGTCTAGAAATGCCCATCACACATGCAGCCATATGCCATGATACCAACACCCTCAACTCAATTTAACAGAAAGCATCATTAAGAACCAACTATGAGCTGGGCACTATGCTAGGCACCAGGGTAACAAGGAGAAAACCATAGTCCCTGTCCTCAAGCAGCTTACATTCTATAGGGGCAAAACAATGAATAACAGAGAAGTCGATACCAAATCTATTCAAAGTAAATCCAAAGCCATTTCAGGGGGAGGGTGTAAAACGCACTGACCCTTGAAAGGATCAGACGGGGGCTTAGGAGGCCTGTGGCCCTTGAGCCACATTTTCAAGGGAGCTCGGGATTCTAAGAGGCAGTGGGAGGGAGGAAGAGCATTCCAGGCATGGGAAGCAACAAAAAAATTTATTAAGCACTTCCTTATGCTAGGCACAAGGAACTGGATTGGTGGTAAACCTGTTATTTCCTCATTGTGCAAACTCCTTTCACCAAGGGAGAAAGCACTCCTCTGTAATGCCCAGTCCTCATGGACTGAGAGCATCTAAGACACTTGTGTGGAATCACGCATCTAGTCTGCTAGAGGCAGACTTGAACCAGGGTCTTCCTGGCTGCAAAATCACCACCCTATGCACTATACCTGGATACAAAAAGCCCAAAGGAAACAAATTGTAATATCCAATTGATATGCCCCAGGATACTCCAATCAAATGCAATTACACACCTGTATTTTCTAGTAAAATCCAATCCCAGACCAAATATACATAAAATTAATTTGATTAATAGCAGATCACATAGCCCACATATTACCCAAGCATTCCTGGAGGATATTCTAGTAACACACAATCAGAACCCCAATATAATTCAATAAACTTCTATCGTGCTGGCTACGTTCCAACAATGCCCAAATGTGCCTAGAATAGACCAGGAACACTCAAAGCACCAATGAAGGGTATCCAAATGGCCCATTCAAACATGCGTGACACAATTATGTATTCTCTATATTTTCGTACAATCCCTCTAGGCACAAACTCCAAGATCCTTCAGGATTACCTCTATATCCCAGGATATATAGATATACATAGACACAAAAATCCCTGTGGTGCCCAAACGAATCTTCATCGTATACTAATACCTTCCATAACACACCAATATACTTAATTTCCCCCATAATTGCAGGAAAATATCATTACATACCATAGTATATTCCCATAACACTCTCCTTATAAATACCCCAATACTCCAATAATATTTCCCACATATTTCCTTATCTTCTAGTAGTACACACACGTATATGCCCTGCCTTCCATAGTAGACTCCAGGATAATATACACTCATGCCCCAGGTTGCAGCCCCCACAAATATACTATGCTCAAGTCTAGCAACCACTGTGATCTGTAGCTGCATTAAGAGACACCAAATGTGGAGATTAAGGAAGGGGCAGGCTCCCTGGGTGGGTGGGTGGGGTCTGTTCTGCCTTGCCCTGGTCTGACCATACCCAGGTGCTGGGCTTAGTCACTGGCACCAAGTTTAGAAAGGAGGGCAGCTAGTCTCACCAGGAACTTTGAGGCTATAGCCTGGGATCTGATGATATTTAGGTTGGAGAAGAGAGAAGTCAGGGCAGACATAACTGTTTTCAAGGTGTTGAAGAGATTCTGCTTGATTTGCTACCCCCAGAGGGCAGACAGAATAAGGAAAATCAGGTAAAGGTTTCAGAGTCATGGACTCGATGGAAAGAATCAACTTTCTGACAATCTGAGGCATCCACACGTGGACTGCGCTGTCTCAGCAGGCAGTGGGTTCTTCCTCACTTCACAGGGATGCTGGATGACCACTTATCCACTCTGTTCCAGAGGGGGCTGTTGGTCAGGTATGCCTGGTCTCTAAAAATCTGTGGTAGAGGGGGACAGCTAGGAGGTACAATGGATAGAGCTCTGGCCTTGGAGTCAGGAGGACCTGAGTTCAAATCCAGCCTCAGACACTTGACAACCACTAGCTGTGTGACCGTGGGCAACTCACTTAACCCCGAATGTCTCGCCCCCCAAAAAATCTGTGGTAGCATGCACCCCTGGACACAAACCTTCAGCCCAACTTAGCGGCCTTGTAGACCTTGTGGCCATATATGGCGCACACCTTCCCAGGGTGCTTCTCCAATGTGACATAGACTCAACCTCCAGCATTCCATCTTCCTCCATAGCATACCCCAGTCTAACATGAACCTAGACCCTAACATACTACCTACAATACATTATATCCTGCCCCCCTACAGTACATACATGCTCTTACCCCAGCACACAGCCCACTTCAGGATAACATAGCTACCTACTCTGACCAGAACATTCTATCCATCAAATGGCACATTCCAATATAACCTCTGCACTCTTGCCTCAGTATACCTCCCACAACATGACAGACTCCGTTGTTACATACACACACTTTGTGACCCCTGAGCTGCTCTCACTTAAAACACACTGCAGCATAACAACACATGCACACACACGATAGTGCCTCTCACAGACCTCCCTACACAATATGCTTCTGTCCTGCATGCATGCACACACACACACACACACACACACACACACACACACACACACACACTGATCCCAGTAGGCTTTACAGTGTGATGCAGTATAACACGAACATACACAGTTATGTGCACACCCACTCACATGGTACATCAGCATATGTACACAATGTGTACCCTGGAATGATCCATTAGAGTCCAGCCCTCCACCTTCATAGCAGATACCAGAGATCAAGCACTTCTGTAGCTCAGTGGGAGGGAGCCTCGATGCTCCTTATAGGTTTGAAAAAGAAGTGTGAGAAAGAGACAAACATGCATTCAAGGATCACACTCGTGAAAACAAGACCAAGGAAGAAGGAAGGAGTTCTTTGGGAGGGTGGAGGCAGAGGAGGGGAGAGGGTATCAAGGCCACCTGCCGTGGGTCTAGCCACCACAATCCCTAGTGCCTCTTCCACACCATTGCTGCCAATACCCCCTAAGGAGGCAGTGTGCCACAGTGGAAAATGTTCTGGATTTGGAGTCAGGGCAACTGGATTTGAATCCCAGCTCTGTTGCTCCCCACCTGTGTGACCTTGGGCAAAGTATTTAACCTCTCTGGGCTTTAGCCCCTCATCTGTAAAATAAGGAAGTCGGATGAGACATCTTTCCCAGCTCTAAATCTATGATCCTGGGATTTCATATTTCCTTCAAGCACTCCCATATCTTTCCTCAACCTCTTGGTTCCTGACACACTCAGGATCCCCTTCCAAGTTTCTGGATCACCCCACACCATCTCCCTATAGTTCTCACAGTCTCCAGTAACAGCCACATATCTCTCTCCTATCCCTTCATCATTCC